GGGATGTGCCCGAATTGGCGGGGGAACGCCATGCGTACCATGCCGCTGGGGCCTTCGGTGGAGCTCCACACGAGCCATGCCGAACTGGGCGGGGGGAGGCCATGCGGGCCTGCCACTGGGGCCTCAACACGTCAGGACAGGTTCGGCACCAATCGTTGCTCCTGGTGGTGGGAGGGCCGTCTTGGCGCCCCCTTGGGGAGCGTGGTGGCGTTGTGCGGTGATGATGGCACCGATGCAATTTCTTGTTTGTTCGAGGGGCATCCGCGAGGCTATCTTGGAGCCTCCTGTGTCCTTCGTAGGTGCGTTTGGGCCTCTCGGGGGCCAGGTGAGGACCTCTGGGGGTCCATGGGCCACGAAGTGCGTGAGGGACGTGCCGAAATGAGGCTCCCATGAGCTGCCTTGAGGGGCCAGCCGAGCGCCTCTGGAGGTCCATGATCAACGAAGTGCATGAGTGGTGAGGCGAGTGAAGGCTCACAAGGGAGTGGAGGTGCGAATCCATGAGATTCCGACGTCTCCCAGATTTTTCTTTCGTGTCGATTAGACACTCTGCGTGTGCGTGCGAAACAAGGATGCCGCCACACACTCCTCACAGCCACACAGACCCTAAGAATCCAAACTACATCAATGTTTCTGCTTCGCCGACGTCTCCTAGAAGCCTGCGGGTCTGAATCCAATGTGTCCCAGCCCTCCTGTGTGTTGGGATCTCGTTCTGAATCGTGCCATGTGGTCTCCACCTCTCCTCTCCCGCCTCCGCTTTTTCTCCCCGCCTCCCTCCTCCTGTCATATGCTTCCTCCACCTGCGCTGCTCCCTGGGAGGTGCGGCTCCTTCGGGGGCTGCGAAGTGCGCAAGTGTCGCCACTTAAGTGGGCTCCTGGGAGGCACCGCGGAGGTGAGGGCAGCGGGGATCCATTTAAGACCTCACGGCTCCCCCGGGTGCTGCGAACGCGACTATCGCCGCCTCGTGGGCTCCTGAGAGGCACGCGAGACCTCGCAGCTCCCTGGGAGGCTGCATATTGCGCAACAGTCGCCGCTTTCGTGGGCTCCTGGGAGGTCCAGCGGAGGCGGGAGTCATGCGAGACCTCGCGGCTCCCTGGGAGGCTGCATTCTGGGCATCTGCTGCCCTTGTTCGTGGGCTCTTGGGAGGTCCAGCGGAGGCGGGACTGCTAACTGCGCATCAGTGGCCTCGTTCGTGTGCTCCTGGGGTGTCCGGCGGCCCCCGTTAGGGCTGACACCTCGGACCAATCGGCGCGGCCAGGCGGCTCACAGCGATGGCCCATCGGACTTGCATAGATATTGTCGGTGGCACGTTCCCCCCCTCCCTTGTGCAGGCCTTCCTAGTGACCAGACGTCGCTTCCCTGGAGGAGGAGGAGGAGGAGGAGGAGGAGGAGGAGGAGGAGGAGGAGGAGGACGGAGGACGGAGGACGGAGGTTCTCCCCAGGGCCAGAAGGTATTTTCCGGGACGAGGAGGACGACAGGTGGGAGGACGAGATAGAAGCAGGGTGGAGGTGGGAGGAGCATGGGAAGCATGTGGAAGGGGGAGCAGCGGCTCACAGCGACGGCCCATCGGACCCTAGGGAACATGATCATCAGCATTTGTTTTCTCCCTCGTGCTGCCGATTTAGGTGTTCGGAAAGCGTTTCCCTCGAAGCGGAGGAGGAAGACGAATGGGGAGGAGGAGGGAGGACGAGCTGAGGAGTGGGCAGAAAAGGGGGTCCATGCGGTTCACAGCAATGGTCCATCGGACCCGCAGTACATCAGGTGTCAGATACACCCGCGGAGATCGGGCATCGATGTGCGTCAGCAACTGCGCAATTATCCCCACTTTCACCGGCTGCTGGTAGGCTCAGCGGAGTGGGGTTGCACGCAAACCCAGAGTAGACCTCGCGGCTCCCAGTGAAGCTGCCAACTGCACAATTGTCAGGATCTCCGTGAGCAAGAGTGCTGCATATCTTTGAATGAGTTCTTTTGTGAAAATCACTCCGCTTGATAGTTACCGCACGTGGAGACAGGGTTGGGCACGTCTCGGGCAGGAGCCTGGCATTACAGATGCAGTGTATGTGTCACGCGTCCCGGGAGAATGGTTGTGCGATTGCGCGGGGTTGCCCCCAGCATGCATGCATTCTGCATGCAATCTCGCGATCCTCCATGTTTCCATCATTTCATGTTCCTACTTGTGAAGCTCAACACGGTTCTGGCTGCCCTGCTCCCGCGACGCTCCCGCAGGCGGGCGCGCTGAATTGAGGCTCCCTCGGGCCCTCTGGGGGGGCCAGCTGAGGGCCTCTGGGAGTCCATGGAGCACGAAGTGACTGATGGGCCTGCTGAGTTGAGCAACAAGAATTGACCTACAAATGCCTAGCGTCTTCTCCTGGGAGCCTGAGATCCCAAGCAATAACATGTTGACGTGCTCTGGGAGTCAGCCAAGGCCCCACGGGAGACATTCCAAGACCGCCCGATTTTCCGAGACCGACCACAAAAGAACGTCGCAGCGATTTGCACCGAGCCTCGTCGAAGCCACCGAACACCTACTGCCTGCTTGTGAGCTTTACGTGGCCATGTCCAATGCGTTCCTTTTCCTGTGCAAGCTCCTCGGCACCGCCTGCACCCCGGCCCGCCCTCCGGCCGCCTGAGGCCCCGCCCGCCTGTGCCCTGTCTCCCCAATTAGAGCTGTGCGTAGCCCGCCTAGCTTTTGCCGGAAGAGGTTCGCTCTCGCCCCGCAGACCAAAAATTGTGAGGCTTACGTGCTCGCTCCCCCAATCCAGCAGTCCCCCCGCGGGAGCGTCGGGGGAGCAGAGCGGACTGAGCCGTGTCAGGTCTGGTGATCGCAAACACCTGGATTGAGGGGGCGTGGAGCAGTGACGGGCCCCGCTTCCACGGGAGCTCGCGGGGGCTTCCGCCGCCGACCGGGGCGGCACCGGCCGCATTTCGGGGAGGGCACCTCCCCCGATCCATGGATTTGGCGACCGCGCGCCAAATCCATGGATCGCTGATACAGTGCCGTTTTTGATACATGCTCCGCGTGCGGATCTTGTATGAAAAATGCAGGGATTGAGTATCAAAAACAACGATGAGTTCATGTATACATTGATTCGTAAATTAACCATGTATTAAAGATCTTATATTTCTTAAAATCCCATGTATTAAAAACTGCCCTGTAGATGTTGGCGCGCCCCCAGCATGAGGCGTCTTGAGGAGCCAGCTGAGCGCCTCTGCATTCCATGAGGCACGGAGTACGTGAGGGGTGTGCCAGGCCGAAGTCCTCGTGGGCTCGTGAGCGTCCATCCCGGGCACGTATGCGTGGCATGAACATATTCTTTTGACGGTCCGCGCGGGTTTTTGGGATCTGTGCTGGGCCCCCCCTGGCGGCGCCTCCAAAGCCGCCCCTGGCGCGCTCCGCCCTGGCGCCGGCGCAGATCCGAGAAGTCCGCGTGGACCGTCGAAGGTCTTTGCTTATGCAGTTGTTGCTTCCTCTTGTGTGCCACGGGCTTGGGGGCACACACATCACACGCGGAATGATTCTCGCGTGGGTTCAAAATAACCGCGAAAGGTCTGCAGAACCCCCCCAAACAGTGGAAACTGATTATCGCTTCGACGCCCTTATTGACGGACTGGGGCCCCATCAATAGCAGAAAATAATGATTCACCCGCGGCGCCCGCCGCGCAACAACGACGGCGGCGACTACGAGTACGATTGCGACGGCGGAGGAGGAGGAGAAGGGGGAGGAGGAAGAAGACGAGGAGCAGGAGGAGAGGAGCAGGAGCAGGAGGAAGAGAAGGGACGAGTTTTATCCCCCGCCTATAAAAACAGGGGGGGAGGAGCAAAACTAAGGACCTTCCACGGTTAAGGAGGGGATTTTCAAGGGAAGAAGCGCTCCCGATCGCCGAACGGATTAGATTCGCGTACGACGGGAAGCGCGAAGCGAACCTTGTTTGGATTTCAATGAAAGACAAAGATTCTGACAGGTGGGCCGATCGCCGAGCCAAAAACCTGTGAGTGTATTCCAACAACGGGCGGTTCGCGTGAGATGCAGTCTCAAAATCGGTACTTCGAAGGAGCGGTTGAAAATATTGTGGTTAGCCCTGTTGGAGGCCCAGTGCCACTCTTATGGAAACGCTCCTCTTCCTACTCGTTCTCCTCCTCCTCCTTCTCCTCCTCGTCCTCCTCGTCCTCCTCGTCAGCCTCGGAGTCGCCATCGGAGTCGCCCTTGGTCTTCGAGTTGTGCACCAGACTCGCCGTGGAGCGCGCTCTGGCCAGGATCTCTGGGCGAATCCAGCCGTGTGGTGACCAGCTCCCCCCCTAGGAGACCCCACTTGGCGAAAGGCATCAAAATGCCTCCCCCATCTTCATCTTCCTCCTCCGAATCCGTTTTGGCTCAAGGCTCGAGCGGCTGCAGAAGTATCGTTTTGCTTCTTACGACGAGGTGGCCGCCTAGAGAAATGCTTGGGCGGTTGAGCAGCATGTTGATGCCAAGGAGCTCGCCGGACACGAGGGGGGTGTCGGAGGAGCTACCCGTACCCGGTGCCTACGCGCAGCCGTTCGGGCAGATGCCGTCGAGCAGCCCGGTGCTCGAGATGCCGGTTCCGCAGCAGCAGCAACAAGTGTTCGCAACGCAGCTCGAGCCTGTGGGACAGGTGCCTTCCAGCGGGTCACGCAGCCCGGCGTTACCGCAGGCAGCGACCGAGCTACCGCCGTTCATGCAGTACCCGAGCAGCGCCACGACGCTTCCGCCAGCCAGCCACCTGGGTCTGCCGCCAGAGGGGCCCCAGCAGCAGGCCGCCCGTGGCGCCCACCCCGACGCGGCCCGCGACGACCCGACGGTGCCCGGCAGCTTCAGCCCCTCGCTGCCCGTAGGCACGGCGCAGCACGGCTCCACGCTGCCCCCGGGTGCCGAGCACTGCCCGCCGCGCACTTCCCCCGCGGGGCTCGGGGAGCCGCCGCGCGCGGGCGCGAGCCAGGCGCCCCAGCCAGACGGCCGGCCGTGGAGCCCGAGCAGCGCCCCCGCGCTGCCCCCGCGCGCTGCCGGCGACCCGCCCCTGCTGCCCGTGCCGCCTGGCGGGCCGGACGGCTCGAGGCACCGGGCGGGCTTGGGCGACCCGCTGTCGGCCCCGCCGCGGTTCCCCGGGGGGCCCTCGGCGCCGCCAGGCTCTCTGCTGGAGCCCCAGCGGTTCCTGCTCTCGGCGCCGCCGCACCACGCCCGCCTCGACTGCGACCTTGGGGACCAGATCGGGCTGCGGACCGTGGAGCAGACGCTGCCGCCCCGCCCCGCCGAAGAGCTGCCCCGCACGGAGGACCAGCTCGGGCCCAGCGCCACGGAACGGCCAACGCCGCGTACTGCAGGGCAGTGGTCGCCGCCCTCGGCCGGCGCCGCCGAGCAGCTGCTTCCTGGCTCCATGGACCAGCTGCCGCCACGTACGTCCGAGCTGTTGCCGCCGCGGACCTTGGAGCAGCTCCCGCCGCGAACCGCCGAGCAGATCCCACCGCGCACCCCCGAGCAGCCGCCGAGGCGCGCCGACGAGCAGATGTGGCCCCGCACCGCTGAGCAGCTACTCCCTGGATCGATGGACCAGCTGGCGCCGCGCACCCCCGAGCAGCTAGAGCCGCGCACGGAGGAACACATGTGGCGGCCTGCCGAGCAGCAACTACCCGAACCAGTTGGTTCGGGCCCCCCCCGCTCCCTGGACTACCTGCCACCGTTTACAGCGGAGACACCGCCCCGCTCCATGGACCAGCTGCCGCCGCGAACAGCGGAGTCGATGCCTCCGCGCACGGCCGAGCAGCTGCTTCCCCGGTCCATGGACCAGCTGCCGCCGCGGACGGCAGAGTCGATGCCTCCGCGCACGGCCGAGCAGCTGCTTCCCCGGTCCATGGACCAGTTGCCGCCGCAGACGGCGGAGTCGATGCCTCCGCGCACGGCCGAGCAGCTGCTTCCCAGGTCCATGGAACAGTTGCCCCCACGAACGGCAGAATCGATGCCTCCGCGCACGGACGAGCAGCTGCTTCCCAGGACCATGGACCCGCTGACGCCGCGAACAGCGGAGTCGATGCCTCCGCGCACGGCCGAGCAGCTGCTTCCCCGGTCCATGGACCAGCTGCCGCCGCGGACGGCGGAGTCGATGCCTCCGCGCACGGCCGAGCAGCTGCTTCCCACGTCCATGGAACAGCTGCCCCCGCGGACGGCAGAATCGATGCCTCCGCGCACGGCCGAGCAGCTGCTTCCCAGGTCCATGGACCAGTTGCCGCCGCGAACAGCGGAGTCGATGTCTCCGAGAACGGCTGAGCAGCTGCTTCCCCAGTCCATGGACCAGCTGCCGCCGCAGACGGCGGAGTCGATGCCTCCGCGTACCGCCGAGCAGGTGCTTCCCAGGACCATGGACCCGCTGCCCCCGCGAACGGCGGAGTCGATGCCGCCGCGTACTGGCGAGCAGCTGTCTACCAGTACAATGGACCAAGTCCCCCCGCGAACAGCGGAGTCGATGCCTCCGCGCACCGCAGAGCAGTTCACACCTAGCAATCAGCGTGTTTATACGATGCCGCTCAGCGCCGAGCAGGTGTTTGCTGGCTCCGCCGAGCAGCTGCCTGGACCAGCTGGCGTGGGCCATCCCCGTTCCCTGGACTACCTGCCGTCGCCTACAGCGGAGACACCGCCCCGGTCCACGGACCAGCTACCACAGCGGACGGCGGAGTCGTTGCCTCCGCGCACCCCCGAGCAGCTAGAGCCGCAGACGGCGGAGTCGATGCCTCCGCGAATGGCCGATCAGCTGCTTCCCAGGTTCATGGACCAGCTGCCGCCGCGAACGGCGCAGTCGATGCCTCCGCGCACGGCCGAGCAGCTGCTTCCCCAGTCCATGGACCAGCTGCCACCGCAGACGGCGCAGTCGATGCCTCTGCGCACGGCCGAGCAGCTGCTTCCCCAGTCCATGGACCAGCTGCCACCGCAGACGGCGGAGTCGATGCCTCCGCGTACCGCCGAGCAGGTGCTTCCCAGGACTATGGACCCGCTGCCCCCGCGAACGGCGGAGTCGATGCCGCCGCGTACTGGCGAGCAGCTGTCTCCCAATACAATGGGCCAAGTCCCCCCGCGAACAGCGGAGTCGATGCCTCCGCACACCGCAGAGCAGTTCACACCTAGCAATCAGCGTGTTTATACGATGCCGCCCAGCGCCGAGCAGGTGTTTGCTGGCTCCGCCGAGGAGCTGCCTGGACCAGCTGGCGTGGGCCATCCCCGTTCCCTGGACTACCTGCCGTCGCCTACAGCGGAGACACCGCCCCGGTCCACGGACCAGCTACCACAGCGGACGGCGGAGTCGTTGCCTCCGCGCACCCCCGAGCAGCTAGAGCCGCAGACGGCGCAGTCGATGCCTCCGCGCACGGCCGAGCAGCTGCTTCCCCGCTCCATGGACCAGTTGCCGCCGCGAACGGCGGAGTCGATGCCTCCGCGCACGGCCGAGCAGCTGCTTCCCAGGTCCATGGACCAGTCACCGCCGCGGACGGCGGAGTCGATGCCTCCGCGCACGGCCGAGCAGCGGCTTTCCCAGTTCATGGACCAGTTGCCGCCGCAGACGGCGGAGGAGCCGATGCCTCCGCGCACGGCCGAGCAGCTGCTTCCCCGGTCCATGAACCAGCTGCCGCCGCAGACGGCGCAGTCGATGCCTCCGCGCACGGCCGAGCAGCTGCTTCCCCAGTCCATGGACCAGCCACCGCCGCGGACGGCGGAGTCGATGCCTCCGCGAACGGCCGAGCAGCGGCTTCCCCAGTTCATGGACCAGTTGCCGCCGCAGACGACGGAGGAGCCGATGCCTCCGCGCACGGCCGAGCAGCTGCTTCCCCGCTCCATGAACCAGCTGCCGCCGCAGACGGCGGAGTCGATGCCTCCGCGCACGTCCGAGCAGCTGCTTCCCCGCTCCATGGACCAGCTGCCGCCGCGGACGGCGGAGTCGATGTCTCCGCGAACGGCCGAGCAGCTGCTTCCCCGCTCCATGGACCAGCTGCCGCCGCGGACGGTGGAGTCGATGCCTCCGCGTTCGGCCGAGCAGCTGCTGCTGCCTGGCGCCGCGGCGGTGCCCGCGGTTGGAGAGCTGTCGCCTGCCGACCAGGAGCAGCTCAGCTACGAGGGCGGGCCCTACTCGATGCCCTACTACGAGAGCGGGGCCTCCTTGATGGCGCAGCAGCAGTACGCTGCCCAGATCACGGAGCTCGAGGCCCTGGCCACGGAGTACGTGCAGCGCAACCACGACCTCGAGTCTGTGCTAGCGTCCATGAAGTCGGCCGAGGAGAAGCAGCTGGAAGAGATCGAGGTGCTGAGATCGAGGCTGCTGCTGGCGGATCACGCGGGCCCCCATGACCCGGAGTCGTCCAAGGACGAGGCCGATCGCCAGCTGAGGATCGACGAGTTGGAGGGCCGTTCTGCAGAGATGCAGCTGGCGCTGGAAGGCGCCGCCGTTGCCGCGGAACGGCAGAACGTGATACAGCAGGACCTGGAGAAATTGCTCGAGGAGAGTGAGGCCTCGAATCGTGCACTGGAGATGGAGGTAGAGCAACTGAGGCACGCGGCCAGCAGTGCCGCCGAGGCCGAGAGAGCCCAGCGCGAGGCGGCCGCCGCAGAGGCCAGCGGCCTGCGCATCGAGGCCCTGGAAGAGGAGCAGCATGCCATGAAGCTGGCCCAGTCCGAGCTCGTCGAGCGTGCGGACCTTCTTGCCAGTCGGAACTCGCAGCTGGAGGCGGAGATCCTGGCCCTCAAGCAGGAGCACGTCCACGTCGCGGACCTCGAAGAGGAGGCCCGGGCCGCGGCGGACGAGCAGGGCTCCCGCGCGGCGCGGCTGGAGAAGGAGCTCGACGCCGTCAAGCTCGACGCGGAGGTCCAGGCGGTGGAGGCCCGCGCCGTCGCCGAGGAGCACCTGAGGCGCAGCGCGGAGCTGGAGGAGCTGCTGAGGGTGCAGGCCGTGGAGGTGGAGCTCCTGAGGCAGGAGCGCGCGCAGGCGTTCGAGCACCAGGAGGAGGCCCAGTCGATCGCCGAGCAGTCCGCTGGGCGCAGCCGCGAGCTGGAGGCCGAGGCCATGGGTCTCCGAGAGGAGCGCGACCGCGCGCTCGCCGCGGAGAGCGAGGCCGTACGCCTGGGGGAGCAGCAGGCGCGCAGGCTCCAGGAGCTGGAGGCGCAGGCGGAGGCGGAGGGCCAGGGCCGGGCGCGCGCGCAGCAGCTGGAGGGCGAGGTGCGCGCCCTGCACGAGGAGCGCGGGCGCTGGGCGGAGGCAGAGGCGGAGGCCAGGTCCGCCAAGGAGGGGCACGCGAGCCAGATGTCGGCGCTGGAGGCTGCCCTGGCGGACGTGGACAGCGGGCGGCAGCAGGGCCTGGCGCACATCGCGGAGTTGGAGCGGGTGCTGGCGGAGGCGGGCCAGCGCAACGAGGAGCTGGAGGCGAGGCTGGCTGCCCAGCAGGGGGACCAGGAGCTGCTGGCCCGCGGGGCAAAGCGGATCGAGGAGCTGGAGGCGCAGGTGGCGAAGGACCGGCAGTGCAAGCAGGAGTTTGAAGAGTTGCTGGCCCGCGGGGCGGCGCGGATCGAGGAGCTGGAGGGGCAGGTGGCGCAGGGCCAGCAATGCAAGCAGGAGCTCGAGAAGGAAGTTGCGCAGCGAGAGAGGCGCAGCCAGGAGCTCGAGGGCCTGCTCGGGGCTGCGGAGGACAGGGGGCGGCAGCTGGACGATCTGGCAGAGGAGGGGCTGACCCGCACCCGCGAGCTGGAGCGCCTGCTCGTGCAGCGAGGCGAGGAGCTGGAGGAGCTCCGGGCGATGGCGGCCGCGCGCGCGGAGGAGCTCAAAGAGCAGGTCGGCCATGCGCGGCAGGAGCAGTCGGGGCACCTGCAGCTCGAGCTGGACAAGCTGGCCATCGAGCACTCCCGGCGCTCGAAGGAGCTGGAGGACCAGGTGTCGATACACGTGAGGCGCACCTCGGAGTTGGAGGCCGAGCTCAGGAGGTCGAGGCAGACCGAGGAGGATCAGCTCGCGCGCATCGCGCAGCTGGAGCAGGCGATCGGCAGCCAGGACGCCAGGCAGGCCAGGCAGCTGGCCGAGTTCTCCGCGGTCTCCCAGCAGATGAGTGAGCTGGAGGAGGTGATCGGCAAGGTGCGGCGGATGGAGCGAGACCTCGCCAGCCAAAACACCACGGTCGTCGAAGAAGAAACAGCGGCGTAAGCATGAACTGTCGGGGCCCAGAGGGGGCCCGCGATTTCTTGGATCGGCGTTGGGTCTTGGGGAGGCCAAGCGCCGATCCAAGAAATCCGCGCGGAATTGAGCCATTCCGCCCACCTCCAGAAGGAGTGAGTGCCTGCCAAGATCGTGGAGTGTATCTTGTCGGATGCATAAGATAAGACGGTCTCTTAAGAGACCGTCGTATCTTATGCATCCGGAGAAGCACCCGAATTCGGGTGCCTGTCCGGGGCGTTCTGCAGGGCCCTTGGGGGCATCTGCGGCAGGGTCCTTGAGGCCTCTTGGGGGCATCTGGGGCGTTTTCTGGAGGCGTCTCGGGGCCGATTGGCGGCGTCTCAGGGGTCTTGAGGGGGCGCTCTGCCTCTTGCGCTTGTCTTGGGGGGGTGGGTGCTCGAAATTCCAGGTTGCGCCCCCCCTCTTGGGCTCCTCTTGGGGCCCTCTCCAACAGTTCATCTGTATGCCGGGCTTTCTTCCTTCAGGTCGCGGAGCTGAGCGACAGGGTCAACGAGCAGGCCCGCGGCAGGAGCAACGGCGAGGCGGCGCTGCTGAGCGGCGAGATGGTGCGCCTGGGCTGCGCCGTCGAGGAGCTGCGGGACCAGCTCGGCGAGCGGGGCCTGCGCGGCAGGCTGGACGAGGAGATGTCGCGGCTGAGCGCGCTGAGCGCGACCGTGGCGGAACTCAGCGCCCAGGTCGCCGCCGCGACGCCGCAGCCGCTGAGCAGGCCGATCTCACCGATCCCGTCCGACGTGTCGCGCGTGATCGCGAGCGGGCGCAGCGTGCCGGTGATCTAAGAAGAAAAAGTAACATAAACAAAAATTGTCGGAGTTCCGCGCGGATCTTTTGGATCGGTGCTGCACCCCGCTGGCGGCGCCTCTGGCGCCGCCCCTGGCGCGCGGAGCGCGCCAGGAAGGGGGGGCCCAGCGCCGATCCAAGAAATCCACGCGGAGCCCCGAATGTTTGCGTTTACGCTGTTCCATTGCTCCTGCAGGCGAGGATGAGCAGCGCGGTGATCGCGGGCGGCAGGCGCTTCCCCTCGCCCAGCGCCGCGGCCGCGGGCAGCCCCCCCGACGTGCCTCGCGCGCTCGCGGGCGCCAGGCGAATCCCCTCGCCCGGCGCCGAGGCCGCGGGCGGCATGCCGGCGAGGAACGGCAGCGCCCCGCGCCTCGGCGCCGCCGCCGCCCCCGTGGTGACCTTCGGCCCCGGCCCGAGCGAGTGGCTCTCAAGCCAGGCTGGCACCGTGGCGCGGCCCGCGGCCGAGGCCGCCGCGCGGCAGCTCCCCGAGCCGCGCGCGGAGGAGCGGGCCCTGCGGAGCCCCCCGCCGAGCACGGCGGGGCGGCCCCTGCGGAGCCCCGCCGCCGCCGCGCCGGGGGCGCCGCCCGAGCGGGCGGCGTCGCCCGTGGTCACCACGACGACGGTGGGCCCGCTGCGCATGCGCTTTCCGCACGCGCAGGCGCAGGCGGCCCCGGTGGCCGCCGCGCGCACGCGCAGCCGCAGCGCGTCGCCGATGCCCGGCGGCAGGCCGGCGGTGCACGCTGCGGGCGTGCCCGCCTCCGGCTCGGCGGCAGGCCGCCCGGTGCCTTTCATCTTCAACAAGGGCAGCGGGCCGCAGGCTGGAAGTGTGCACGGAATCGGGGTGCGCGCGACACGGGAGAGAGGGCAGTCTTCTTGGGAGGCCGCGCCACCCCGGGCCCCATCCCCCTTCCATCTCCGCCTCCTCGCCCCCGCCCTGCCTCGATTGCCTCCTCCGGGCTTTTGCCCTCCTTCTCCTCCCCCTTCCCCCTCTGCACGTTCCTCCTGACACTTCTGTCGTCCCTGCTCTGGCCCTCTGGCCAGCCTCTCCTCTTCCACGCTCGTCCTCTACCTCCTCCTCATCCTCCTCCTCATCCTCCTCCTCCTTCCTGCGCCGCCAGGCTGGGAAGGAGCTGCAGACGCAGGTGGCGCACGCGGCCCAGACGCCGCCGAGGATGGCGTGGCCGCCGCCACACGCCGGGCTCTCGGCGCAGGTGCCGGTGCTGCGCACCGTCACCGCCCCCGTGTTGGCCGCCCAGCCGGCCCTGCAGATCGCCAGAGGGTCGACCTGGACTGCAGGGCCTGCCGGCACCGCGGACGGGCCAGAGGCGCTGCAGGTGGCGCCAGGCAGCCCGCCCGGTGGGATTGCGGGCACCCGCCTGGCGCAGACCGCCGCCGCTGCGTCGGCGCGGCTGTCCCAGACTGTGGCCGGCGCCCAGGAGCCCTTCAGCGTCGACATACACACCGCCCCGGACATGGTGCCCAGCGCAGGCGCCCCCCAGGATTCGAGGAAGAG